CACGACGCCGCCCTCGCCGTCGCCCGCGCCGACGCTCAGGTTCATCTCGGGCTTGATGTCCACGTCCAGCCCGCCGATGCTCCGGTTCGACATGTACGGGATGAGGAAGCTCAGCTGGTTGTAGTACTTGTACTGCGCGATCTGGATGGCCGTCTGCCCGCTGCGAAGGCCCTTCTGCCGCTTGAGGGCGTCGCGGAAGTTGTCGCGGATCTTCTTCCACTCGCCCTTCACTGCCTTGCCTAAGGGCAAACGGCTGCGTTAGTATCAGCATGAAACACACAACCATGCATGCAATTGACTCTTTTTAACAAATATAATTTTCTAAACACTATCTACCCCACTAACTGATGTTACGACAGGGCGGTTCACATCCCTTACATTTAATGCTCAGTAATATTCAGCAAGTGCATGACGTAATAATTACTAGGTTTAAAGAAACTGGAACCGGAAGTCTAAAACAATTTTCCTGGTTCGATTATTACCCTACATAAACCCTATTAACATGAACTACCGCGAGATATCCGCTGCCAAAAACAAATTCTCAAATGGTGCGATCACTGAAAACTAGAGTTGCCAAGGATCATATTGCTCTCGTTTTCAGACATTTCTTTATCATTGCCAGCCAACGATATATAATTTACATTCTGACAAGAGAAAAATAGAATGAATAAGTAATTCGTTGTAAGAAACTTTAGAGAATTTAACGGTGTAAAATATTTTATTTAATAATTGTGAACGGAAATATATTTGCGTTTAATATCAACTACACCCATCACCTCATGGCCGTTTGAAAAAAAGCAACAACTTAAGTATAACAAAATATTAACGAACAAATTTAAGCAGTTATTTCAAATTATTACGACTTGACACGGCCATAAATTAAATTTCTCGACCTTACAAAAAAAAAAAAAAAAAAAAAAAAAGATGAAAACCGACGCCAGTGTGGCCCGGGCGGCTCCAAGGCGGGGCGTGCCCGCTCCGCGATGGCGAGCGACAACGCGGGAAGTCCGCTTCGGTTCGTTTCTCCCGCCCGCCGCCGCGCGCCGCTAGTGGCGCTCCGCGCCCCTCAAAGCGGAGTCCGCCCGGCCGCAGAAAACATTGTTCGCGCACCCTTTCATTGCCTTTGAAGGCGAGCAACCCCGTTCCCGGCCGGCCGGTCGGTCGGGCGTCTCCAACGCCGCTAGAGCGCGTCCCCGTAACCGCCGACAACAGACGCCCCAGTCCACCCCGTTCGTGCGCGCGGGGAAACAAAACGGCGCGCGCGGAAAACGAAAAGGCGCCAGCGCATGCGCCGACGGACCATAGTCCTTCCACCCCCACCCCCCGCGAAGACGCAGCGCCCAACGCGCGCGGCGAC